AATGAAATTCTGCTATTTGCAACAACATGGATGGACCTAGAGAATATTATTCTTAGTGAAATAAGTCATACAGAGAAATACTCTGTTATCACTTACACGTGGAATCTAAAAAAAATAGAACGAATGTATATAACAAAACAGACTGAAAGATATAGAAAACAAACTTGTGGTTACCAGTGGGGTAAGGTAAGGGGGAGGGGAAAAATAGAAATGTAATTAAGAGACACAAATACTATGTATAAAATAAATAAGCAATAGGATATATTGCTCAGAGCAGGGAAATACAGCCATTATTTTGTAATAACTTTAAATGGAGTAAAATCTATAAAAACATCAAATCACTATGTTGTACACCTGAAACGAATATAATATTTAAAATCAACTGTATTTCAGTTAAAAGTAAATAAATAAAATAAGAAATCACTTTAATGGTTTGAGATGTATCACATATTTTCATGTATCAGTTTCATCTATTCATTGAATACCTACATTGCTGAATAAATTCTATTCTATAGATTTTAGGAAATTGGATTGTTCACTCATCCAGGAGTTTATAGTTGTTCTGTTTCCAGTTTGGGGTTACTATGAATTATAGCAGCTATGAACATTAATGTATAAATATTTGTGTGGACACATGATTTTCTCTCTTTTGGGTAAATGCCTTAGCGTTGAATCACGTAGCCATAATATAAGTGTATAACTACCTTCAAAAGACAATGCAAAAGTGTTTGCAAAATTTTACATTCTGACCAGCAATGTATGAAATTTCTAGTTGTTACACCCCAATTTGTTGTTGTTGGTCTTTATAACATTATTTTTAGTATAGTGTTATCTCACTGTGCTCTTAATTTTCACTTTCCTAGTGACATAAAATTCAGCTTCTTTTCATGTGTTATTTGTCACATCATTATTGAATTCTAATTTTTTACCCGTACTTTTTCATATATATGCATGGTGAATATTTTCTTTCAGTTTGTGTCTTGCATTTTCATTTCCTTAATAATGCCTTTCAAAGAGCAAAGTTTTTAATTTTGAAGAAGTCCTATTTAACAAGTGATTTTTTTTATGCTGTGCTTAAAGAAACACATCTAAGGAATCTTGAACTACATCAACGATGAAAATATTCTATGTTTTATTCTAAATATATTATAGCTGTGAATAGTAATGATTAATTTTGAGTTAATTTCATTGCATGGTGCATAATAAGTGTAAAGGTACCTTTTCTGATACAGCAGTATCCATATGTTCAAAAGACTATCTTTTTCCCCATTAAATTACCTTCTCTCCTTTCCCCATGAAAGATCCTTAGGTTAAAAAAAACAAACAAACTTGACCACATATATTTAGCTAAATTCTGGACAATTTTTCCCCCAATTAATTGACCCTTTACACTTAGGTCTATTTCTGGACTCACCAATTTGTTCCATTGGACTGCTTATCTATTTTTATGTCAATATAACACTATCTTTATTATTATAGTTTTAAAATACATTTAAAAATCAGATACTATAAGTTCTCAAATTTTGTTGTTCTTATTCAAGATTGTTTTGCCTATTCCACATGAATTTTGTTATCTGCTTGGTAATTTCTACTAAAAGAAAATCACTTCTTGGAATTTTGATTGAGATTACTTTGAATTTTTAGATCACTTTGGGGATAAATTACATCAACAGTTTTGAGTCTTCCAACACATGAATATTATATATCTTGCATGTACCAAGTTCTTTTAAAATTTCTCCTAACAACGTTTTGTAATATTCAGTGTATAACACTAATACTAATTTGTTAAATGTATCTTTCTACATGTTTAATTTTGACATTATGATAAATTATCTTTAATTTAATTCCCCACTTTATTGTTAGTATATAGAAATACATTTGATTTTTCGTATATTGATCATGTAACATCTGATTCTGCTAGACATTTTAGTTCTAGTAGCCGTTTTCTAGATTTGTTAGTATATTCTACACATAGGTACAAATCAACTGTGAGTAGAGAATTGACTTCTTTCTTTTTATTTTGTAACCTTTAAGAAAATTTTTTCTGTTGCCCTGTTTAAGAACTCCAGTTCACTCCTGAACAGAAGTAGTGAACATAGATATCTTGCCTTGTCTTAATATACAAGAATAACACTGTCTTTCACTTATAAGTATGATGTCACCTGTAAGGTTTCTGTAGATGACTTTTATCAGGCTAAGGATGTTCCTTTCCTTTATATTATTACCTTATTGAGAATTTTTCTAACAAATTTATGTTAAATTTTGTCAGATGCATTTTTTAAATCTAGTCACTCATTATATTTTTCTCTTGTATGCTGTTAATTTAGTGAATTGACTTTAATGAATTAAAGAAAATATTGAACAACCTTGTTTTCCTATGATAAAATTCCTTAATTATAACACTTTCCATTTTACATATCACTGACTTCAGTTTGCTAACATTTTGTTAATGGTTTCTGCTTTTATATAATAAGCAATTGTGGCCTGAAGTTTCCTTGCAAAACCTTTATCTGGTTTTGGAAGCAGGGTTATACTTGTCTCATAAACTGGGTTGGACAAAATCATTGTATAGATTGTTATTTTTTCTTCCCTAAATGTTTGACATTCACCAGCACAACTTCTAGCCGGAAGTTTATTTTGTAAGAAAAAATTTTACTTACACAATTTAAAGAGATATAAGGCTACTTATTAATAGATATCAGGCTTTAACAGACTATTGGAAAGCTTATGTTTGTCTAGGAAATTGTCTATTTTATCTAAACTGCTGCATGTGTTGTAATTAAGTTTTTCATACTATTCTGTTTTATTTTTAATATTTTTACTGCCTATAGTGATGTATCACCTTTAATTTCTGATACCAGTCATTTTTATCCTTGCTCTTATTTTCCTGATCAGTCTGGATAGGAATTTGTCAATTTCATTGGTCTTTGCAGAGACCTTACGACTTTGTGCTTCATGTTTTTTTATTTCTCTTTTGTTTTTAATTTCCTTCATTTCTGTTTTTATATTTTTATTCCACTGCATCTGTTTCTTTTGAATTTAATTTTCCCTACCTTTTCTAGTTATAACGTGGAAGGTTAAATTTTTCTTCTGACATCTTTATACAGGCATACCTCATTTTATTGCACTTCTCAGATACTGCATTTTTCCCAAATTTAAGGTTTGTGGTGACCTACATGGAGCAAGTCCCTTGGTACCATTTTGCCAACAGCATTTGCTCACTTCACGTCTCTGTGTCACCTTTTGGTAATTCTTGCAATATTTTAAACTTTTTCATTATCATTATACTTGTTCTGGTGATCTGTGATCAGTTATCTTTCATGTTACTACCATGAATCACTGAAGGCTCAGATGATAGCAGTTTTTAGCAAGAAAATATTTTTAATTAAGGTACGTAGATATATTTTTTAGACATAATGCTATTGTACTATGTAACAGTCTATAGTATATCGTAAACCTAAGTTTTATATGTACTGGGAAACCACAGAATTCACGTGACTCACTTTATAGTGATATTTGCTTTATCATGATGGTCTGGAACCAAACCTGCACTTTCTCTGAGGTATGCCTGTACTGTGTTATTTCTGTCTGGCTGCTTTGGGATTTCTTCTTTATCTTTCAGTTTTCGAAAAGTTAATTATTCTATGTCTTGGCATGGATTTTTTTGTGGGGGTTGAATTCTACTTTAGGTTTGCTTAGCTTCTTGAATCTGTATGTTTATGTGGGTTATTGTCTCACAGGTCCCTGAGACTCTTTTTATTTTATTTTCACCCTATTTCCTCATTGTTCAGACTGAGTAAATTCTATTGATCTGTCTTCAAGTTCACTGATTCTACTATCATTCCCATTCTATTATTGGGTGTATAGTGAGTTTTTTTTAATGTCACATAATTTTCAGTTCTCTAATTTCCATTTGGTTCTTTTTAAAAAAAATAAATTTCTATTTCCATGCTGAGATTTTAATTTTTCATTTGTTTCAAGAGAATTTGTAACTTCTCATGGAAGCATTTTTATGGTGGTTCCTTTGCAATCCTTGTCAAATTGTTCTGGCATCGGATTCATCTTATGGTGGTATCTGTTGGTTGCTTTTCTAAATTGTACTGTGATTTTTCTGGCTCTTGATATGATGCACAATTTTCGATTGTACCCTGGACATTTTGGGTATTATATTATGAGACTGATTCCTATTTAATCACCTTTTATGTGAAGGTCATGCCCCTGTTCACGTATACCTCAAGGTCTGGGTGACTGTATATGCTCAGCTTCTTGCAAAGTCTAGTCTACTCCATTGTGGCAAAAGTAAGCACCCACTCACACTGCTTTGTTGCTGCAGGGTGTGGTTGGAAGCCTGGCTCCACACTATGCCCTACTGACACGAGGGGAAGGAGCGTGTGGGCTCGGTGGACTGTCCACTAACTGCCCCACCTCGTACCACTTTATTCTACCTCCTGGATGCTAGGTGTATGTGGAGGCTCAGGTCCTCACCAAGTCTTCCTGACTCCAGGGGTGGGGTGAGAGTGGAGCACTTATTACCTCCAACTGGCATCTCACTGTCAGTCTCTTTGATGTCAAGTAGAGGTGGATGCTCAGCTCCCAGTGGGTTCCAGTACCCTGGTGGGGAAATTGGAGCATTGCCCTCTTCATCAGGCAGAGGATGGATAATCATCTCCCTGCTGAGTCCCTCAGACATCTAACAATGACGGAGGAATCTGAGTGCTGCCTGCTTTTGTCTGGGCAAGGGACTGGGGTAGAAGATCAACTTCCCACTCCACCGCTGAAACTGCAGGGTTGCAAGGTGTGACTTTTCCCCCTTGGTGTTTGGCTGGAGTAAGGAGGGTTTTGCCAAGAAGATTTCTAATGTTAGGCTACGTGTTCTCTGGTCCCTTGGCTTGAGGGGAGCAAGCTCTTCCAGAAGCTCTTTTGGTCTGTACCTGTTGCAGGTTTCTGCAGTGCCCTGTCTGGGATATATGGGCAGTAATAAGGAGACATGGGGAACTCACCACCATGTTATTCCTCAAGTCTCGGGGTCCCTTTGCAGCCAGACTTCTTTACACCTTTCAGAGAAGAAAGATTTAAAATTTGTAGGAATCACAATCAACCCTTCTTATCTTTTACTTCACATATTGCACATGAACTTGGTCAGGGATTCATTGGGCTGCCAAACCTTCCTTGTCAAATCAGACCCGAGAAGATCAAGGGCAGACCAGGTTTAAGTCATCATTAATCTGTTAGAGGAAGGTGAGGGAAGAAACCTTTTCCCTGAGTAGCCAAGGCAGAATTTTTAAATATGTCTTTAGATGATAAATGATAAGTGAGAATATTTGATCTATAGACAAGTGTAATATTTCCTCTAGATTTATATCTACCATGTAGCACAACCACATTCAGTTCATGAACACGTTTAATGATAAATATCCCTTTTAGGTTAATTTTTCTATATCTAAAATAGTGGCCCAGTGGGAAGTGATGACCAATCCATTCCCCGATGGCTTCAGGTAGGAAAATTACTGAGTTCATCATCAATGTCACCCTTTAGTCCTCCAGGGAAGATTATCTTTGTAGAACACTGTAAAGCTAAATAAATTTAAAAGATTATCAAAGAGAGATTATAAATCTAAGCAGAAGTTCTCAATTCTGGGCACCCATTAGAATCACTTGGGGAATTAGAAAAAATAATACTAATGGGTTTGCATTGCCCCAGATCAATTAAATAAGAATATTTTGAGTGGGGCCTGGACATCAGTATTTTTTAAAGCTGTCTAGGTGATTCTAATGTGCATCAAGATTGAAAATAACTCATATAGGCAGGGGCTGTTTTCCTTGACAAGGGAATTTATATGTTATTACAAATTGCACTTAACCGTACCAGATAAAACACACTGAATAGATGTTCTGGTTATATGAGATATGCAGCTCAAAGGCAGTCCCTTTAAAATTGTTCCTCCCAGCTTTGCTAGTGGCTTATTCTGCTACCAGAAAGTCCTTTCAAACCGGGAATAAGAATGGACAATGCTCTAAAAATATTTTTCCCCAACAGGTAAAGAATCTAATACCGTGATTCTGGAGAGACGGTTGCTCTAAAGTTTAGATCTCTTGTACAGAAGTTGTGTTAATAACTATCAGGTTCAATCCATTGGATTCCTTAATTCTGGGACCCACAACATGCTGATTTACATAACAGAAACTTTACCTTTCAAGAAGTACCTGCAAGTGAGCCCACCAGGCATAAAGCATTGCAACTGTTGGATTTACTGGGAGTGGGCATTCCCTGAATCCACTGCTCCTGGTAGAGAGTTCAAACCAATCTCATTTTGTCTATGGAGAACATTTCTAAGCAAGAGTTTTCATTTTTGAAACTCCAGGGTTTCTGGGATGGTTACCTATATGGTGAGTTAGTCACGCCTGGAAAACGATGAAGGACTCTTACTCAGGGGAGTAGTGTTGGGCTGACAGGGATGACAGCAAGAATGTACCTTTCCTTAATCTGGAAAGGGAGAAGGGAGGGTGCCAGTTCCTGAAGCTAGGTACGGGTCCAAAGGTTATATAATCATGTGTCAGGGCTTTCATAGGGAAAAGCAGGCCTCCGCATCGGTAGAATCTTGTAAGGAGACATGACAGAAGTTTCTAGATGAGATGAATATTAGTATTAGGGTAGATGCATTAGAGGCTGTTTAAATCACCTTTCAGAGAAGGCAACTCCTATGAGTCATTAGCTTATCCTCCCTTAGGGATATAGACAAAGGATTGGCAAGCAGCGGCCAAAGCTATCTCCTTTTCCTGAGAGATAAGCCTGTTGACTCTGATAAAACGGATCTCTCCCCCTTAAGTTCTGATAGTCTGTGTTTCCTTGAGTGGTCTATCACGGACTCTGATAAATTAAGAGGGCCTCCACAACTGATCTCATTTACAAAATTCTACTAGGATTTTACTCTGTTCACGTTCTCCTTAATAACTATTAATACAGCTGAGGTACCTGCAGCAATTTGCTCTGGTGTCAAGGTATTTTTGAGAACATCATGTTTCTTTTGATTTGGGGTTTAAGACTTGGGATTTTCTATTTACAAAGGTCATTTTTTTTCTTGGCTTAGAAAACAGTAGTAAGGCTCAAGAGTGGCACAGGATTAGCCAACCCAGCTTCTAGAAACTGCAGGTCATTTAGTAACTAGTCAGCGTACACAGAAGTAACCCAAATGGTTAAACCTAGTTGCGCGCATAGGTGCGAGCAAAAGATTCCTTGGAACCTGCGCCACCCTTAGATTTCAGGGCAGGACTGGCAGCTGTCTTAATATTCTAGAGATAGCACTGGTTCAGTTACCAAAAATTTATTAAATGCCTCTGCATGCTAACATATATAGAAATGGATAAAAGATGGTCTCTGTCCTTTAGAAATGTACAGCCGATCATTATCTTTCTATTTTCGGCCAAACTTGACTGTGAAGAGCACCTGCAGCTTCACAAAGCGCTAAAAGGAAGTGTAACTTCTGCTTCATCGTTTACCAACACTTACATATTTACTATTAAAGCCTTTCTATATAAAGAACCCCACAAACATTCAACTTATATGAAGAAGGCTCACCTTACCAAGTGCATAATTATAAGCAGTGGCTCTTTAAGTCTTACCAAGCAGCCACCCACATTTTCAATCTTTCTCAGCCACCTCTGCCATGCTGCGTCCAAAAGGAGCAACAGACTCATTGTCTAAATCTACGAGGAGCGACATCACACAAGCAGCACAGAAAGCTTCCTGCCTGATTGACGGGATCTCCAAAAACATCCAGTGATAGCAAGATGAAAGAAAAGTTCATGATGGGTACCTATAATGCTGGAAGATAGATGATTCATTCTCACTCAATGACAGTTACAACATTGCGGTGAAGATGTGTATTAGATGTTAAAGCAGAAATTGAAGAGAAAGAACCTTCATTTGGACTTCATAAACAAATGACTGGTGAAGGAATGTCAGCTGCATTACAGTACTGCTTTCCATATTGGCTAACTAAATGATGTGCTCATTGGTTTATTGGGTTAATAAACGAGAGGCTAAAAAGATGTACACGCTCTTAAAGTGAAATATTTACACAGAGCCAAAGAAGACTGACTAATTTGAGTTAGATTTAAACCCTCCGTCTTTTGTAATGATTAATACCATGAGACAATGAAAGAGGAATCAGCTTGTAATTCTGACTCCGCCGGTGACAAACCAAGAGAACTTGGGAAATTCTCTTAACCCATGAGCCTGCATCTCCTCATCTGTAAAAGGTAAGACGAAACTGATTCTTGGGGCTCTACCTAGTTCCATGATTCTGTGCCGTCAGATAAAAATTCTAAGGGGTTTATATGTGTAACTGAATCTTACATATAATAAAATTGGTCTGGTGTTTTCAAAGTAGTCTTGTAGGATCAAGGTCATGTAAGGACTGAAGTATATCCCGGCCTGAGAAACACTCCAGGGCCAAGACCCATGATATAGCCGCAGTAACTAAATTGCTAAGCTCTCCAAGAAGAATGGGGTTGATGATATATTATCATGAGATACAATAATGTAAATGAAAATACTTTGCAAACTATTTGGGGCTATATAAATGTCGAGCGTTAGGCATTATTATCTTCTCCATTTATTGAGGGACCAACTTACAGAACTGACTTCAACAAGGCCATATAATAAGTCAGGGACAATTTGGAAGAAAAGACATCTTTTACTCTGACATTCCTTCCTTTCCTTCATCCCACCAATATTTATGGAGCTGTTTCTAAGTTTAAAGTACCAGTGGGGGAATTAAAGAGGTGTCTAGGACACTACTATTTTCAACAAGTTTGCAATCCAGTAAATACGTATGAAACAGCAGCATCTGTTTTTCTTTAATGATTTTATGTATAGAAGATGATTTTTCTTCACCAGGTTTTAAGCTCTTTGAAGTCCCCCAAAGACTTTTATTTCCTTTGACTACCTTCACTATGTTCAGTGGACTATGGGCCATATTGATCCTAAAAATAGTCTTTGATGGGAAAGTAAAAAATAACCTCTGTGATAGGATTTAGACCCTCTAAGGGGCTAAACAATATAACTTCTTACCATTATTTATGTTTGACGCTTTCTCTAGTGCAACTCAAAAAGACATCTAGACACTTAGGATTCTACAACTTTAGACTGATACTGGACCACTAACAACCAAAAATAATAATACAAAAAATAACAACCAACTTTTACAATAATGAGCTAATAATTATTAGCGCTAATAATGATTAGCACTAGTAACGTGCCAGGCACTGTGGTCTGTGTTTATATTCCTTATCTTATTTATTCTCCACAATAATTTTATTAAGTTGGAACTGTTTTATTACTCCCATTTCACAGGTGAACAGACCAAGGTTTAGAGATGATAACCAAAATCACATGCATAGTGAGGGGCAGAACTAGACACTGAATCTGGTCAGTATAGCTGCCGATACCCAAAGGGGGGGTACCATTTCTGGAAGCTGAATCTACCTGATTTACCACATTAAAAAATATCTAGAATTTTAAATCAGTCTAGACCAGTGTTCTCAATGGAGGACAATTTTGCCACCCAGGGAATATGTGACAGTGTCTGGAGACATCTGTGGATGTCGTGACTTCACATGTGCTATAGAAACCAGACATGATGCTGAACAGCCTTCAGATCAGAGCACCACACCCCCAGCCCCCAACAAAGAATGATCTGGTCCAAAATGTCAATAGAGAAAACCCGACCTAGACCTGTCTTTCCATGCCAGGGCAGTTCTGAGGTCAATCAGGGACTCCCTTCTAATGGCTCAGGCACTCATCGCAAAACATGACCTAAAAGGCCAGCACAAGAGCTCAGGGAAACGTAAAGAGGCAGCACATGTTCCCAGAGCTTCTATGAAAGACAACATGATGTGGAATATTTTTTTCCCAGAGGTAGGAAGAGCATTCTCCTTTGATACGTATTATTTTTTGGTGAAATCTGAAATTTGTAAAGGTTTCATTTATAGTTCATTTCTCCCCAACTACCCTCCACACTTTTCATTAATTTAGAACAATGTCCTATTGTTT